TACATATTTAAGTAACCACTTCATTGCCTGCCAATGCTCATGTCCAGGATTGGACATGTACCTACTTAATACACTCACTGCATAGGCCAAATCTGGCCTTGTGCAGATCATTGCGTACATCAATGATCCGAGTGCACTAGATTATGGAATATTGGACATTTCTTGTCTTTCTTCTTCAGTTTTCGGTGACTGCTCTGTAGAGAGCTTAAAATGGCCAGCCAATGGGACCCGAATTGCCTTTGCTTAATCCATTGAGAATTTATGCACTACTTTCCTCAAGTATTCTTCTTGAGATAGACATAACACCTTTTGCTGCCTATTCCTCTTAATGTCAATTTCCAGTATCTGCTTAGCTCTTCCTAAGTCTTTCATATCAAACTCCAAGCTTAGCATTTCCTTTACCTGACTAATTTCCCTGGACTCCTTGCTTATGATCAGCATGTCATCTACATAGAGTAAAAGGTATACCGACCTTTCTGTTCTAGCATCTTTGTAGTATAAACATGAGTCATAGTCACTCCTTTTCAACCCTTTCTTGATCATATAATGATCAAACCGTTTATACCACTGACATGGTGACTATTTAAGTCCATAAAGAGACTTCTTTAATAGACATACCTTTTCTTCCTTACTGTTTTCTTCAAAACTAGGGGGCTGCTTCATGTAGATTGTCTTATTCAGATCTCCATGTAAGAAAGTGGTCTTAACATCCATTTGTTCTAGCTCCCAATCTCTTTGAGCAACTATTGCTAGAACGGTTCTTATTGTCTTATATTTGACTACTGGAGAAAAGACCTCCGTGTAGTCAATTCCTTCAACTTGGGTAAACCCCTTTGCTACTAACCTTGCTTTGAATCTCTTGGGATCAGCTGCTACAACTCCATCCTTGAGCTTGTAGACCCATTTGTAGTCAACTAGTTTTTTGTTCTTTGGCTTAGCTACGAAGATCCAAGTCTTATTCTTCATTAGAGATGCCATTTCTTTGTTCATAGCTTGTTCCCAGTTGCTGGATTTAGTGCTTGACATTGCTTCATGATAACTCTTTGGTTCAAGTCCGACTACCTCCTCTGCAGTGTTGAGTGCATAAGCAATCAAATTTCCACCTGAATATCTTTTAGGAGGTTTAATGTTTCTTCTTTGCCTGTCCCTTGTCAACATGTAGTTGTTCAGCTCCTGTTGACTGGAGGATTGTTGTCTGTAGGTAGCCTCAGATTGTGTAGCCTCTTGGCCTAATGGATGATTAGTTTGAACCTCACTGAATTGTTGCTCTAGGCTTGCAGTAGGCTGTTATGTTTCCATAGTAGTTTGTTCAAGCTGATCATGGCCCTCCACCTCAAGTTGAAGCTCCTGTGTTGGGGTAGGCCCTGTACCTGCATCATTAGAGGAGATAGCAGTATCTTGTCCTTCTTTTAAATAGGGCATGTCATTTTCATTGAATAATACATCTCTGCTAATGACTATTTTGAAGCTAGGGCAATTCCTAACACATAGTCTATAGCCTTTGACACCCTCGGGATAGCCTAGAAAAATACACCTAATGGACCTGGGGTCTAACTTTCCCTTTCTTTGGTGTGCATAGACAGCACAACCAAAGACTCGGAGGTGGCTCAAGTTTGGAGGTTTGCCAGTCCAACATTCCTCTGGTGTCTTTAAGCCAATGGGCTTACATGGACACCGGTTTATGAGGTAACATGCTGTACTGGCTGCCTCCCCCCAGAAATTTTTTCTTAGGCCAGCTCCAAACAACATACACCTTACCCTTTCCATTATTGTCCTATTCATCCTCTCCGCTATCCCGTTTTGTTGAGGTGTCTTCTTTACTGTTCTATGCCTTAAAATACCCTTTTCAGCACAAAAAGTTGAGAACAAATTATGACAAAATTCCATACCATTGTCAGTTCTAAGGGCCTTTAATCTTTTATTAGTTTGGTTTTCAACTAAAGCCTTCCACAGTTTAAATTTCTCAAAACATTCATCTTTGGATTTTAATAAATAAATCCATACTTTTGTAGAGAAATCATCTACTATAGAAAGAAAGTACCTGTGGCCTCCATGAGCTGACACACTCTCTGGCCCCCATAAATCCGCATGAACATAGTCCAATGGTCCTTTTGCTCGGTAGGCAGAGAAAGAGAAGCCGAGTCTATGTTGCTTCCCCAAGATGCAAAGCTTGCAGAATTTGAGTTGTCTGACTTTGTCCTTTCCTAAAAGGCCTTGTTTGCTAAGTTCTTGTAGCCCTCTCTTGCTAACATGAGCCAGTCTCCTATGCCAATTTCTGCTTGGTGGCCATCTTTAGTTACTGTTGCAGCAACTCCATCAGCAGTATTTCCAAGCAACACATAAAGGCCATGTTGTTTTTGACCCTTCATCATTGTTAGAGATCCCTTTAGCACCCTGAGGGTTCCACCTTTTGCCTTGTATGAGAAACCTGCATCATCTAATGCGCCAAGAGAGATAAGGTTTCTTCTGAGGTCTAGAACATGTCTCACGTTCCTGAGTAATTGAGAGGTACCATCATGCATCTTTATAGGGATTGAACCAATCCCGATAACTGGGCATGTCTGATTGTTTCTCATGAGAACATTTCATGCCTTTAGTATGAGATACTTAGAGAACCATTCTTTCTTAGAGCACATGTGGTAAGTGCACCCTGAATCGAGTATCCACTCATTTTTTGGCTTAGTTTCTCCCATTACCAACATCTCAGAACTCTCATAGCCCTCAGCCTGATTTGCAGCTGCAGCCTCATTCTCTTCTGATTTTTGCTTGGACAGTTTCCTTTTCCATTCCTTGCAGAAACGTTTGATATGGCCCACCTTGTTGCAGTAGTAACATTTTCTAGGCCCTGATCTAGATTTTGACCTAGAATTAGGCGTAGTCTTGGGTTTGCTTTGATCCCTCTTGGGGTTTCTTCTTCTAGCTAGCAAACCCTCATCACCATAGGTGTCCTTTCTTTGAGACATCTCAAACTTAATCTCTAATTCTCGAGACCTGAGTGCTGGCAGAACATCCTCTAAGGTAAGGCTCTCCCTCCCATATTTGATTGCATTTTTAACCTCTCTGAAATTCTCCAGTAGAGAGATTAATAGAATAATTGCTTGATTTTTCTCCTCTACCTTTTCCCCAATATTTGCTAAGTCTATTATTATCTTGTTAAAATCATCAAGATTCTTTTCAAGACTTTTACTTATATCCATTCTAAAACTGAAAAGGCTCTCTTTAAGGTAGATTTTATTTGTTAGTGACTTAGTCATATACAATTGCTCAAGTTTGAGCCATACCTTAGCGGCGGTGTCCTCTTCATTCACCTGTCTGAGGACTTGTCGGCAAGATAGAGGATTATCGTGGAATATGCAATTTCTTGCATATCGATTTTCTCCTCTTCAATTCCCTTCACGTCCTTCATATCCCCAAGGGCTTTGGCGACCTTCTGCTGTACCAAGATTGTTCTTAACTTCTTCCTCCACAGACCGAAATCTCCAGAACCATCAAAACCGTTCCAGTTCGAACTTCGCGGTACCCATCGTTTTCTTCCAAAGATCTCCACCGAGTCTTCGATTTGCCTAGTACCAAACTAAACTAGGCTCTGATACCACTGTTGGATCGTAACCAACACAAGACTCTGAAAAACAGAATGAGAAATATCATAATCAACACAACAGATTTTACTGAGGTTTGGGCAAAGAATTTGCCCTACGTCCCTGTTAAGCTCTCACACAAGAAGCTCTTCTTCTATTAGATAAAAAATTACACCCCCACAACTCACAATCTCAGAGAGACAAACAAAACTCACGAGAACAATCACAAGAAGGAAATTCTCAGAACGTTTACAAAGGAAAAAAAACAAGAAACCCTAAATTTCTCTCTGTTTTTCCTCTCAACAACAGAAACGCCAAATTTTCTCTTTCTCTCTACAATTTGCTCTCAATACTTTCTCTCTCTTACAAGTGAAATCTGTCTCTCGAAGAAACTAGAATATGCTTTTTATATCCTTAGAGAAATAGCCTGTATTGACTCATTAAGTAATCTACGTGTGCATCTGAGATTGACTGTTCTCTGACTCTCTCTCTTGCAAAACGGTAAGTCGTTTTGATCTAATAGTGAAGCTGGCAATTGGATTGATGTCGTTTTACTTGGAATTACTTCTTTATTAGCCATGCGAATTTAGGTGTGGAGTACCTTTTGTTACGTCTGTCTCAAGTGTTGAGAATGTAGGATTTTGAAGTTTTCTTGATGGCTATTTGGTTTGTGTGGAAAGATAGGAATTCTTATATTCATGGGGAGAAACTTCGGCAACCTGAGGATATCTCAGAAGCTGCGAGTTCTTGACTTACTGATTTCCAACTCGCGCAATTGAAAATTCGATTGTCAGAACAAGATCCTGTGTATGCAGATCTGCAATGGCGAGCCCCGAAGCAGGATCAACTCAAGTTAAATGTAGATGCTTCGGTTGTAGCCCATGGTTCTCATACTAGGGTTGGTGGCTTAATCAGAGACCATACAGGTTTTGTTCTTGGCGCGTTTTCTAAACTGTTAGCTGGCCATTTTCCTCCTTTTTCTTGCAGAATGTTTGGTCATCAGAGAAGGTTTGCGTTTTGCGAAAGATAGTGGTCTTAGAGTCTCCCTAATAGAGAGTGATTCAATAATGACAGTGCGAGCGGTGAATGATTCATGCTGTATTGCTGCCGATTTCCCTATTTTGAATGACATCCAGATTTTGATGCGTAAAATTAATGGTGGTCTGTGTCATATTTCTCTTTGGGGCAATATAGTTGTCCACACATCAGTGAAGTTATTTTCATCGTCTGTTGAAGATCAGTTTTGATTGGAAGATTATTACCGATATGGCTTCGCTTATTTAATAAAAATCGGTTTCTCCTTAAAAACAAAACGACAAAAAAACAAAAAAGAAGAAGAGAGAAAGTCGTCAGATACTCGGATACGCAAATACAAACACACTTTCATACACTACTACGGAGACCAGAAAGATACTTCTTTGTAGTGTTGCATAGAAAAGCAAAAACGCCATTCATGGATTCTTTCACAGCCACAAGTCTTGGAGATTCATGTGGGCCCCAACAGAATCAAAACCAAAACGTCATTAGTCGTTTATTACCATTACCAAATACCAACCTCTCTCTCACTTGTCTGAACCAGAACAACAAAAAATGGAGCCTCTCTGCCCCAATCTCGACCTCAAACCTTTCCACTTGTCGCCGATTTCGACGAACATTTCGCCTCTCTTCTATTCGCATCGATATCGGAGCTCAAATCGCCGTTTGAGCTGCTTGAAACGGAGGGTTTCTTTGCAAAGGGACGACTCTTCCAGTAAGTCAGAGGAATTGCAGTTTTCCGGCAAGGAATGGCTGAGATCGGTCGGGAAAGGAATCTTCGGATTCGCCGCCACTTCAGCGGCTCTCTTCTCGGTTTTCTGCGATTCTCCGGCTCTTTCGGAGTCCCTCACCGTTGCTTTTCCAGTTTCTCGAGCTCCTGAGGTGATTCATTGCTGTTCTTGAGTGGTTATTTTTATCTCTGAAATTTGGCTGTATTTACAGAAATTGGACTTTCCTTAAAAGATCAACAATAGGTTCTTATGAGCAGTGACGAACCTAGGAAATTTCGTCCGGGGGATAATAACTAGATAAAAACTTTTAAATAGAGAGTATTAAGTTTTAAGATTTTTTTTTGTTTTTTTTTTTTTTTTTTTTTTTTTTCCTTTTTTTTTTTTTTTTTTTTTTTCTAAAGAATGTAATCACTTGTACTTGGACTTTTGTATAAAATGATGTTTTTCAGTGAGTTTTTGGAGAATGAGATAAGTTATTATGGGGATTGGTATGTAATTTGATGCAATAGATATATAAGATTGTTGGGGAAAAAAAATAGAGAGGGGGCTAAATCAAGTTTTCAAATTTTGTATGGGGATTCTAATGTAATTTGAAACAAAACATATATAGATTAAAAAAAATAACTATTAGATAATGTTCTTTTAAGAGTTACTAATTTTGTAGCCGCTCGTTTGAGCTAGTTGTACTCGAGTTTTCATTTCATCTTTTAAGTGAGGTGAGTAAATGTATTTATAAATTGATATTTATTCGTGTTTATTTTTATCCTTTACATGTATTTGAGTGGATGATCTTTTTCAATAGGTGAATAAAGTTCAACGGACTCTTGTGGAGGCTTGGGGATTGATTAGAGAGACATTTGTTGACCCCACGTTTAATCATCAAGGTAATGAGTTGAAGGCTATTGGAAATGGTCAAGACAAGTAGTGGATTTGAGGCTTAAGGGAATTACTTTATTTTTATTTCTTTTTGTTTTTAATAAATTTGAGTGGATGATTTACTCCTCTCTCTATTATTTATTTATTTTCATTTTAAAGAATGAATTTTTGAACTGCTACGTTTCTCCATTTCAAGAAAAAGAAAAAATAGAGCAAAAGAGAAAATACCTTCTTAAGTGTTATTTGAGAGTTTGCTAACAGAATTCCTCTTAACACAATTAAAAATTCATCATTATATCATTTTGAACAAGTGACATTTAGACATGACTGTTAAATCTCACCTAAAAGCGTGAAGTGCAAAGTATACCTTTAAAAACACCCATTTGCACGCGTGCGTAATATGAGGGTGTACACCATAGGCATGCATTTGTTACACTTGTGAGACAAAAACCAGGAAATGTTGGATTTAACCTTTAAAAAACAAAGCTAATGTCCCGTTTAATTCATAGACTTGAACAAAAATTTAATTTTTGTGAGCAAAAACATTATAGTAAAAGTTGATTGTAGTTCAAACCTATGAGATAAACGGGCTCCAATTAAAATTGGTTTACAAATGTTGTGACCACTTGTTGGTAATTTGGTTCTTTAATGACCAACCTAGTGTGGTTTTCTGTGGTGTTGAAACAAGTTTTTGGGTTAATGAACCAATTTTCAGCAAGTTCTTTTTGCAGATTGGGATCTAAAGTTGCAGCAGACAATGGTGGAAATCTTTCCCCTTAACTCGGCTGATGCAGCATATAACAAAATCAGTGCAATGCTTTCCACTCTTGGAGACCCCTTTACTCGGATTATCAGTCCCAAGGTTTTTAATGCTAGTTCCCTTTGACTCTTGTGCCATTGCTATGTTAAATTTTGAGCTGACAATTGCAAACACTTGCAGTTGGCAAAGCTAGTTCAAATTCAGTATCGCCACAAATTAATGATGTCATTTCTTTCTGTCCATTCTACTGCTGAAATCTTGATGGAAAAAAAAAGCATGTGAGGACCATGTGTAGTTTAATAAGAGTGAATTTTGTAATATTACGTGTTAGGACGAATGTTAAGAAGAAAGTCGTGCCCTTTTCCATTGAGATTTTAACAGTCTGGTGGACAAAAGAACTATTATGGATAAATGAACTATTTAGGACCATTTGGTAGATCGGGGATTCATTTTGGGACGTTTTAAAAGTCAGGGTCCAAAATAGGATAGGGCCAAAAGTTTGGGGACTAAAAATGAGTTGAAAAGTTAAAGGGTGGGGGCGGAAACTTTATAGTTCCAAGAATTGTGGAATCTATAACAGAAAGGAATTACGGTTAACTAGCTATCAGTTTCTTCTACTTGCAGGAATATCAAAGTTTTACAATTGCAAGTGATGGAAATCTGCAGGGCGTCGGCCTTTTCATATCCGTCGAACCTAACACGGGCCATCTGGTAGTAACATCCAATTAAATCTCTCTTTTTTTTTTTTTTTTTTTTTTTTTGTATTTTTTTCCCCATCATCTTTATTGTTCAATCCTTGTATTAAAAACTTGGTGGTAGCTAATTTGACACTCAAGTCTGCATTTTTTCTTGCTTAATGAAAACTATTTTCAAGTGAATGCTTCCTTAGTATTTAATATTAATAAAGATACTCATGAAAATGTTTGTTTCTGATTTTAAATGCAGGTTGTTTTGTCCAGGGTAGAGGGCAGCCCGGCAGCTCGTGCTGGTATACAAGATGGAGATGAGTTGGTGGAAATAAATGGTATATCCGATATCGCCTGTTTACCATCTGACATTCTCTTTCAGCCGTAAGGTCCTCATCAGTAGTCAAATAATATCATATATTTCCGACTTCAGGAGAGAAGCTTGATGGTGTTGACAGTGAATCAGCTGCACAGAAGCTTAGAGGTCATGCTGGAACTACTGTCACAGTAAAAGTTCAAAGTGTAATATTTTCAACTCTCTTCAAATGCTTCTCCAAAAATTAATACTATTTACCAACTCATACTCGTGAGTAAATGTTTTAACATGATCAGACGTATATTTGTGCCTTGGGATGGATGGCATGTTGAGATTAAGATTTCTTGTTTTAGAATGGTTGTCAATATAATTTAGTTTCAGATAGCTGATACTGTGTTATACTATGCAGGGAACAAATTTCTCCAGAAGTGAATCTCCTATAAGAGAGGTAAAAGATCATTCCTCGTATTAGTTGATGGCCATGAAAATGGGTGTTAAATAACTATACACTGCTTGAAAATTCTTATAACTTGCTAGATAGTCAAGCTAAAGTATGCATATAACTTCATAGTATATTCTTGTTTTAACTGATCCTAAAATATGACTCGGCCGATTGAAGGTCAAACTATCACGTGAGAACATTAAATTCTCCCCTATATCTAGTGCCATTATCACTCACAAAACCCCAGATGGATACCTAACAAAGACCGGTTACGTGAAGCTGTCAGAATTTTCTCAGGTAGCTAATTTACTTTTCTAAACCATGCCAATTTGTCTTTCCCTTTTTTTTTTTCATGGGACTTTTATATTGGAAAGAAAGATGGTGCCGAACTAGGTACCGGAACACTTGTTCTGTTTAAAGAGGCTTAACCTCCCATTCTGTTTTCGACAGACTGCTGCCCCTGATATGGAAAATGCTATTCGTGAATTGGAAAGTCAGGGTGTGAACTCATACATACTGGATTTGCGGAATAACCCAGTAATGCTTTCTGTTAACCCTGTATTGTTTTTATTAAAATAAAGTCCTAAATTTTTTTTATTTTTGGCTTTCTAACTTCAGTTACTTTTTACTCACACTGCCTGTAATCTGTGATTCAGGGAGGGCTGGTAAAAGCAGGACTTGATGTTGCCCAAATATGGTTAGATGGGGATGAAACCCTGGTCAACACCGTTGATCGAGAAGGGAATATGCAACCAATTAATATCGTTGACGGGCATGCTATGACACATGACCCACTTGTTGTCCTTGTAAGTTATTAGGACCCGGAAATCTTGACTTAATTAACAATACTGAAAATGGAAAATTACAAGATAGAATGGGTGGTTTCGAGGACCCCTGGCAGTGCACAACACCTAAACACTTCTCTCAAATCCGATCATGAGCCCTCTCAGCCTCTAAAACCCCCTATTCATACTACTAAAAGACTACTATCAGGTTCCTAACATAAATGCATCAGTAGCAGTTTTTTGTAAAGCATAGGGATTGGTAAAGTCCTGAACAAATGTAGGTGGTCTTCCGTTCTTTTTCTACGAGTAGGTGAAAGTTAGTTGGTAAATGTTTTTCTGGATTGCTCTTATGTGAAACAGGTGAATGAGGGAAGCGCAAGCGCAAGTGAGATCTTGGCCGGGGCTCTACATGACAACGGCAGAGCTATTCTCGTGGGGCACAAAACTTTTGGGAAAGGAAGAATTCAGGTATTCACTAGTTGCCACAAAACTTAGATTTCCGGTTACTTCAAAACACCGGAGTTAAAATATTCATTCAATCCTATGTAATAGTATTGATTTTGGATAATGTGAGCTTATATTTCTCGGTTTCCCAACTGTGGACTCTGCAGACCGTCACAGAGCTGCATGATGGGTCGGCATTGTTTGTTACCGTGGCAAAGTACCTGTCGCCAGCGCTTCACGACATAGACAAGGTTGGCATTGCACCTGATGTGCAGTGCACCACAGAAATGCTCACTTCTCCCAAGGAATCAATCTTAAAGAACAATAGCTCCGCCTCATCATTGGAAGCAGATTCCTGTATTTTAGTAGCAGAACATGAATTGGACGTCCAAGAGTCCAAAGGAACTGCTTCTTGAATGATAGTATCGGTGCAGTCACTGGACTTTGTAGCATAGAATTTGAAGGTGTAGAGATTTTTAGTACACTGTAGATATTATTTATGTAAATAATTGGACAGAAGTACATACTTTATACAGATGATGTACAAAAATTGATCTTCAATTGTATTCCTAAATCACTCTTATGTGATTTAGATGTAACAGCTTCATGGTGCATAAGTGGATCATTCAGTCTTTGATATTTGATACCACATTTTAGTATGAGATGATAACAAATAATGCTTACCATACAAGGAAAATATAAATATAATCATCACCTAAATCATCTATTATAATTAGGGGTCAAAGTTAGGTCCTCTCAGCCTAGCTCTTTTGATGTGATAATGTTATTATGTTGAAGCCTAACACTACAAACTATAAAAAGAGGCAGTTCAGTTGGTTGTAAGTCCCTTCACTGATTTAATTGTGTGATTTGTTTGATGAGCCAAAAGAAAAAAGAAAAAAAAAAAAAAAAAGAATTAGATATGGACCTCACAAGCAGGACTAACGCTCGTCACTGTTCATTGCAAGATTAACAAAAATACTGAACTAAACCGGTGTTAAACATCACTACTAATAAAAATTAGACTTATTAATAGATTTCATATTGCAAGACCCATCTTTTATTAGTCCGGTGCTCTATAATATTGTTCCAAAATTAATCATCAACAACAACAGAAACTAAGCCAATACTAATACAAAATAAAACATTTATTTAATTCAATCATTTCAGAAGAATGAAGCCTACAAATAAATATCCAAATTAACAAATTCAATACAAAGAATTCTCCAAGCTCAAGAGAGTGCAACGAGAGAGAATACGAAGGAGGAGACGAAGACAACAATAGAAACCGGCAGAGAGAAACCGGCACCGGTGTCCATCGACGGTGAAGGCGACGGAGCCATCGTGCTATCTTGCGCCGACACATCACACGCCGACAACAACATGACGGCGGCGGCGACCACCAAAAAGGCCTTGGAGATGCTAACGTGCGCCATTTAAGAAATAATAAAATTAAGAAGATAAAAAGGCAAGTACCAAAAATAAGGAAACGAAAAAGGATTAGAGTGAAGTGGTGTGAGGGGAAGGTGTTTATGTGTATGTGTATATATAGGTGTTGTTTGGGGCCCACGCAAGGCTGTGACAACGAGGAAGATCCGGTTCGCCGCGGGTCAGGGACTCAGGAAACAGCTAAGAGAAGTGCGGGATGGGGCTGGATCGTGATTGGTCCACGACAGTGGACGGCACCGAATAGGGGGTTGACACGTGGGAGATGTCAAGTTGGCTCGTCACTGGTGAGTGGTGACAGACAGGGAAGTTCAACAAACACCAGTTTGGTCATGCCTCGTTGTTTTTGACGTTTTTTTTTCTTTTTTAACTTTTAAGTTAAGGAAACAAGGAGAAGAAATAGTTGGCAAATGTCATCTTTGATTGAAAAATGAGCTCCAATATAATTAATGTCAATTAAAGCTATTATGATTTATTATGTTGTTTTATAGTTAATGGTCTACCAAAAAGTTATTAGAGGCTGAATTTGATGCACTCAATGCATAGAAAAAAGTTATGGAAAAATTGGGGAATTAATGTCTTTTAAATTTTAATTCACGTTTTTAGTTTTTTGACATTCTCTAAGAATTGTGCCTCTCTTTTAAGTTAATGTTAATATATAAACAATAAAGTAAAGGTAGAATTTTATAGTCTTTGAAAAGGAGCATAAATGTTTACAGTTTCCCAGTAAGGAACATTTCTCTATATTTGAATATTTAAGATTATTATTGAGAATCCACTTGATGATACAATCCTTATATTGTTATTTTTTTATAAATAAAATCAAATAAAAAATTTTCATTACAAAAAATATAAAACGAGAGTAGATGAAAGATATGATTAATGTTTTCAATTAACTATTATCTTGCATAGTCTTTCTATCAAAAAACAAGTTTTGTATGTATACGAATTTATTCATGTTAAAAAAAAATACATTTCTTCCCATTCTAGTCTATGTGCATATGGACCACAATATTTAAAGATGTGCCAACATTATATATGCGTATAGAATCATTATTCGGAAAAAAAAAGAGGTTTAATTTGTCTAACTAAGTTTTAATAAGCTCAATTATATATGCACATGGACCACAATATTAAAAGATATGCTGACATTTTATACGAATATAAGTAGATCATTATTGAAAGAAAAAAAAAGGTTTAATTGTCATTTCATTTGCATCCCCAGCTGCCATCGAGAGGAAAATCAATGGAAATGAAAATTCATACAGAGAATATATCATTATCATTATAGGAAAAGAAAATTACCCAACAACTTCATCATTTCCCATAAAAAAAATAATAACGCCGATTTTTATGTCCATAATGTAAAAGCAAATTAGATGTTTTAGAGTTGAAAATAGATGTTTTGGGAGGAAAAACATTATTGGAGGGGTTTTAGAGTTGAAAATAGATGTTTTAGGAGGAAAAACATTATTGGAGGAATTTTAGAGTTGAAAATAGACGTTTTGTATGAAATAAATTGAGGAATACAGAAATAAAAAAGATACGAGGTCCATAATTTTGGAATCTTTCTAATTTTAGAATAATTGAAATAGGAACGGTAATTTTACCTACAGATATCGATACTGCAGACCGCATACTCTTAATAGGGCAGGTATACGGAATACTATATGAGAGTGGGAGCGAGTATAAGGGTTAAAATTAATCCCAGAGTCAGGGGCAGGGTGGGGGTGGGGGTGAGAGAAGCTTCTCAGTCCCCGTCCCGCCCCTCGTCTCGTTTTAAACATATTATATGTGCGTGTGTTTTAGCATTTTAATGTTTTGATTATGTTTTATAAATTTAGTTTACAGATGGTTAGAGTTGGACTTCATTTTCAGCTTTTTTTTTTGAGATATTAGAGATTATATTGCTATATTTTATAATATGTCTTAATGGGTAAACAAATAGGGTATGTGAATAGTTCACTCAGTAAGAACCCCCAACCCCAACACCGCCTTGAATTTGGTGGATATGTGTGCAAAAAGAGAGTAGGGTGTGGGGTGGGGGAAACATACATGCTCCCGTCCCACCTTATTGTCATCCCTAATTTGAAAAGAAAGAGAAAAACGTGTCATAAAAAATATAGGGCTTGTTTAGGACATATATTCAAATCCCAATTTTAGTTCAATTACAATGTTTTTTTGTCTAACAAAGAGTTTAAATTTTAAAATTTTCAATTACAATGACTTGAATATATATTCCAAACGGACCCATAGATATGAAATAACTATTTTTGTCCTTAATTACACCTCATTCACTTATTTTAATAAGGGTACAATGGTAAAATTAAGTTGTATAGACAATTTCTTGTTTTAAAATAAAAATGATTTCTCCCTTATCTTTTTTCTTCCATCCAATATTACAAACCGCAAAAATTTGTTTTTCTTATTCTTCTCAAGTCTTTATCTTATCCCTCTTACCAAACAGATTATAAGAACAAGGTAATGATCCCATTCCTTTCTATATTCCATCCAAGTTCTTAACTCAGATCTTCTCCTGAGCCAAGTTATATAGATGTATAAGACATGGCTGTCATCTTTCAGGCACTAATATCTCATCACATCTTTACCATAATTCAAATTAGTTTGAAAAAAATTTGATGATTGTAGATTAAATAAAGATCTTAAAAAAAAAAAAAAAAAAAAAAAAAAAAAAACCACCGATGTTAATTACCACAAGTCTCATTTGTAGATTTCACACTTTATTAGTGTGCAGTTTTAAACACCGTTTGTATTCTTTAACATTGTTCTAATAACATTGAAAAATTGATAATCAGGTAAATCTACTTAATTAACGTTAAATTAAGTGATAAAATGACATTATCATTAAGAAACATAGTAAAGATATTACATCCCAAGCTCACATCATTCCACCTCAACAAGTATTCAAAATGCTCAAGACATTCCTCGTTGTTCTATAACGCTCTCCAATAGAAAGGACAAATGTCATTGTTTAAAGTGTAAATGGCACTGTTACACTTCAAATATTATACAATATTTTGTATAATGGACCTCAGATTTTTAATTTTAACAAAATGCACTTTAACTTTGAATTGCACAACTTGAGGCACGGAATTCATACATAAATATAAAGATAATAGTTTTTCAAACCGTGTTACGCGTAAATCTAATGTTTTGAGCTGTTAATTTAATATGCCATCAACTTTAAAGTTTAAAATTTAGGATGCATTTTGTCAAAATTAAAAATTTTAAGGTCCTTTGCGTCAAAAATGTAAAGTTCAAAGTGTAATATTGCAATTTACTTTTGAGACCCAAAATTTCCCACTCGCCCCAAAGATTCGATTAACACAGGTTATGAATGTCATAAGACCAAAAATTATGTCTTGCCCAAAATCCAAATTAACAAATTTAGCAACACCAAAACGCAAAAAGCATAAAAACAATAATAATGGTAATAATGATAATGATAATGATAAAGCATGTTTATTTATATTTATTCACAAAGTAATCATGAATTGAACATCCAACAAAATTCAAATCGAATCCGTAGATCCAACAAAAAGAAAATGGCCGAAATTAAACATAATGAATATACACTCATATACGATACGAATCGAATAAACGAATTCAATGAAGTACAACAATCGAATTAATTAATCATCCATCGGTATCGAAGAATGTAAATACATATCAGTTCTCTAATGCTTCAAGAAGGCGAGGAGCGAGAGGGCCAGAGAAGCTCCGACGACGGCGCCAGAGACCGGAAAAGAGTAGGCCGGGGCCGTCGGTATCGGCGCCGGCGCCGGCGCGAAGTCCTGAGCGGAGACAGTGGAAGCCGCGGCGGCGAAGACGATCAGCAGGGCGGAGAAGACGAAGAAGGTCCTGGAAGAAGAGCTAACTTGCGCCGCCATTGGAGAAGCTGGTGAAGAAGAAGAAGAAGGAGGAAGAAGATGGATGGGTCTAGAGAGAGAATGGTATCGAAATCGGAAGTGGATCAGAGAGAGAGAGAGAGAGAGAGAGAGAGAGAGAGAGAGAGCGTGTGATGGTTTGGGATTGTTAGATGAAGAGAAGGGTGTATTTATGGGGGAATTTGAAGCGGCGTGTGGGACCCACTCAGAAGAAAAGCGACAGACAAAAATGTGGGGTTGGCCAACGGCTAGAATTTAACAGTTGGATTCTTTCTTCAATAATAT